TCAGCATACTAATCTCCTGAGAGGACTATTCGCATCATAACATGAGAAGGCTGAAAAATTATCATGAATGTAGTCAAACTCTTGGGTAGTCCTGAATTAATGTAATTAGTTAAAATATAATTAGAACAATTAATATAAAAGGAAGACCTTTGTTGTTCAGTATAAATAGGTCTTATTAAAATTGTCTGGGGAGTATTGACACAGGCTTTAGGAAGTTATTTTAAAGATATGTAGTAAGGCCTTGTGTCTGAACTCAGGGTGAGAGAGTTTTAGGAAGAATAAGTTACAAAGTGTTATTAGAATTAATAAACAATTAATGGTTCTAAGGACCTACATTTTTAGAGTAAGTCTATTAAATCAATGTTTTGGGGTTTAGTTAGTTAAAATTGTCACAGAGGGTTTGAAGAACTTTTTTCTCTGTTAGGTGTTGAATGTCCTGTAACTGTTATAGCTCTAAATGTAGTTTTAGCTGTAATTTATTAATTTGTTCTTTTAAGTTGGTAGAAAAAGTCCCTCTTAGGTGATGTTGAATACTGCTCCAGGGCTGCTAGCTGGAATTCCATTTCAGGGAGATGACATACAGTTTGGAGAAGTCTGGATCAAGAGAGTTTAATGGGTGGAGGTGGGTCATGGCCAGGGAAGCCTTTTCTGTGATATGGCTTCATCTTTATCGTTGCAGTTCTAAGAGTCATTCTGGAAAGCAAACACAAGCATACCCTCTTCTCCAAGTTAAAAGTTCTACAGAGTCTTGTCAAGTGTTATCTCTTAGTAGATTTTTAAATAAAGGTGGCTTTGACTCTTTTGTCTGGAAATGTTTTATAATTGGCGTATAGAGCAATATATTAATATTTAGAAAATTATAGGTAAATATGGCCAGTAAAATTAAATTTTGGGGGGGAGGACTCATGACTCCCCTTTTTGTTTTTAAGAAGATCTTGTAAAGTATTATGAGCTCGTTCTATAATTGTCTGACTGGTTGGATGGTAAAGTATTTTTGTTTTATGTTGAATATTCTAATGTTGAAGAAAAACTTGAGTAGAATAAGCAAGGTATTTAGGCCATTATTAGTTTTAATTTGTTGAGGCTGTCTTCAAGCCAATGGACTTGTATATTTTTTGCAGATTTTCTTTTTAAAGTAGATGTATGTAGTGCTAGAAGAAGTATCGATAGAAATATGAATGTATATAAATTCTTTAAGGAGAGTGTAATGAGTGACATCTGTTTGTCAAATTATCTGAGAACTTAATCTTTGAGGATTAACTCTTGTAAAATGAGGATATTCTTTAATAATTTGAAAAAATGGTTATATGTCAAGGGCTTTCTGTGACTTGATTGACTAATTGTTTTTCCTTGGGAATAGAATAGCCAGTTCTTTCTCAAGGAAATGATTAGTGTTTACAGGTACTGAGTTAAAAAATGGTACTTTGTTTTTCAGGGAGAAGGGCTAGTTCTCCCAGGGAGACAGTATACATAGATCTCAGTTTTATAATAAAAGTCACAGTTCTGGCATAAACAAGGAGGATTTTTAATATTTCTTTAATATGTCATATTTTTATGTCACTTTTATTATGTTTTATATTGATAAATTTATGAATATATTTATAACTTTTAGAAAGTTTTTTTTTCTATTGGCAAATATTTTTACTTTTTTAATTAATTTTTATTGATTACTGTAAGGGGGAAGATGTTAAGTTTCACACTTCTTGTTCTTAAGATTAAAGTAGTCTCTGAGTCTCTAGAAGGAGGATTCAGAGTAGTTAAAAGACATATTTTTTCATTTTTTTTTGTGCTTTTTACTATCTGAGAAAAGTGAGATTTTTTTAAAATAATTAATTTAAAATTTTTAGTAGAATCTTTATGATGTAATAATATTAGAGATTTTATTCTACTTATTGAAATATTTTGAGACAGATGTTATTTTAAAAATAAAAACAAAAGTAAAATTCAAGCAAACTAATATTTTAAATTAAATTCTCTAAAGGAGGGAGTGAGATATTAGTCTTTATCTTATACTATCTGGTGCTGTTTCAATCTCTGCCTAACTTTTCCTAAATAACTAAGTCTAAAGATTCCTTATCAGGAAGATATTTAGCAACTTTAAAAAACTGTTAAATTAGTATAAAACATTGCTCTTGTTTTTTAGAGAACCTATACTTGTTAAAAAGTTTCTTTTTTATTTTTGATTTCTGCTGTTTTAGATTCTGCAGCCTGTTTTAAATTTTAACTAATTAGTTTTTGGGGAGCACAGTGTGGTGGGTCAGAAATGTGCTGTTGGTGAAAACCCCCAGGGAGGGCTGCCTGGTGTCCAGGACACTCTAACCCCGCTTATGGGTTTCAGGTTTTTCCCATGCATCTAAGACTGCAAGGGAGGGCTCGAAGTGCCAGGTGACCAACCTTTATATTGCACTCCCTGACCGAGCCCAGAGTTAAGACATGATTTTGCTCTTTGTTGCCAATCATAAGGGGTCATCCACTCAGCAGCAATGGAATCTACAAGCTGCAAAGTATAAGGGGAAGTAGGACCAAAGTCCTTAACAGCCGTTTTTATTTCTTTTATTAACTTAAACGGCAAAGGTTCTCACTGCGGGGGGGGGGGGGTCCTGAGGAGTCATTGGAAAAATTACTGGGAAGCAACTCAAGGTCTCACCCTGCCTCCTTGCCTCTCTCATGGCCCCCAGAAATCCGACCTTCTCAGGCAGACGCTTCGCTTGCTGAGACCCAACGGACTTTATTTTTACTTTCACTTTCTGGTCTCGCAGCGCAGCTAACGCCAAGGGATCGAAATCTTTAGAATGATATCTAGCAGCTTCTTTTTCTAATTCAGTCTGATAATCAGGTGGCAACTCTTCCTTTTTCTCAGGCTGTTCATTATCTGAGTCAGAGTCAGACTCACTCTCACTCTTTTCATGCTCATTTAGAGCGGGCGGCGGGGCAGAAGGCGCTAGATTTTCACAAGTTGCTATTTTTACCGCCACACACAAAGGCTGTTTTTCCTCCTTGGTCGCCTGTTTAGCGAGGCACGCAACCTCATGAGTGGGGTCAAAACTATCTTTTAAAACATTCCAAAGGGGAAAAGCATCTACTGGAACCTTTTCAGGCCCATGAAGGGTATAATAAGTCTTCATATCTTGGCCAAGTGGCTGCCAAGTCTCTGCATTCACTGATCCCTCCTCCGGGAACCAGGGCGCACATTCTTGAACAAAATGAAAAAAATCTCTAAGCTGTCTTCCTGACACACTTACTCCTCTTTTATGGAGCATATGCTTAGTTATATCAATGAATAAATCTCTTTCCTTGGACTCTGCATGTCCCATGATTACTCACCCTTTGCTACCTGGTCTATCTACCAGGGGGTCTGCAGCACCCGGTCGGTGAGAGCCTAGCCTACCCGACAATGATTTAAGGGGTCTTACCTGAGGGTCCCTGTTCGGGCGCCACTTGCCGCGGTCCAGCCGCAGCGGGTCAGGGGGTCCCACAGGTGAGGGCAAGGCGTCGGCGCTGGGTAACAGACGACAACACGCCTCAAGGACAGTGAAGCTCTGTTCCGTTTATTGCAAGTACAAGTAGGTTTTTATATTTTTCATTTCAGATAGTGATTAATATTTGCAGTATAATATGATCATTTGAGCAGAAAAAATCAATACAAAGATAATCAGTAAAAGTACAAAAGTTCCTATAGATTTAGTTAAAGATTATTTTAACTAGGAGAGTCATTAATCAGACAATTAGAAATATCTTATTGTATATTAAAGTTTCTCAGAATTTGGTATAGGGCAAAAGGATACGCTAAATTGAGTAGAGAAAATAGGAGATTTATTATAAGGCTCTTGTGATGTCTAATTTAGCTATCTACTTTTTTTTTGTTTAAAATGTTTTTCTGTGTACTATAAATTCTGACTCCCTAGTGACTGTTTAGTTTGTAATAACTAACTAGCCTTTGTTATTTCTTTGCCTGTCTAGTTGATATATATTCTTATTCAAGGTAAAGGAGGGGCTATTATGTTGCAGGGGGCTTTCAAGGGTACTTCTTTTAAGTTTCTCTAGGAGTTTTTTTATAGACATATTTTGTACTTTGATTCCTTCTAAGAAAGTAGTGAGATCATCTCCTGATTTCCTAGAGTATTCTATCTTATCTTGGGTGTTTTTCCAATGATTGTTATTGATTAAGCTTGAATTCTCAGATTGTTCTGATTGTTTCCTTGTACCTATATTCCCTGACGTTCTAGTATAATATTATTATTCTGTTCATTAAGCCGGGAAAGGTCTAGGCACACTATCTGAATCACTGCCAGGGTATTCATAATGATTAAAGCAAAAAAAGGTCATGATCTCTAAAGCAAGCACAATTACAATAGGTATTGCAAGGCTTTCCATGCCACGTCCACCAGGTTGGAAACTGCTTCCTTGAAGTCTTACACCCCCTCTCAGGACCTTGTCATGGAGAGAGGGATCCAACAGTGGACGCGGCAGTGGACGTGGCATTTCTCCCTATTTTTGGCTGTATCTTTCTTTGTGTTTCTCCTATGCCTATGTTTCAACAACCCTTTTTAGTATATTATATCACCTCCTCACAATGTATTTTAGTTTTTTGTTGTTGAATCATTGTTTGTGTTTTCAAATTTTACTTTTTTATTTTATTTATTTTATTTTAGACAGAGGAGAAGAGAGGGAGATAGGGAGAGAAACATCAGCATGTGGTTGCCTCTCATATGCCCCCTACTGGGGACCTGGCCCACAACTCAGACATGTGCCCTGACTGGGAATTGACAGGAGACCTTTTGGATCGCCCCCCTGACACTCCCTCCACTGAGCCACACCAGCCAGGGCTCATTGTTTGTATTTTATACCAAACTGTTGGTTGAAGATGAGGTCTGTGACTTGTTTATCTTCACCCTCATTACTTGGAATACAGATGAATTAAATGATCGATGAAAGTTTCATTTCTGAAAAAGCAGGTGAAAGGTATATAAGAATTTTTTAATTAAAATAACAGAAACACTATGATGTCATCCATAAAGTTAATATACATTTATGAATAAAGTGCATGATTAAGGAGATTAGCACCTGTTGGAAGAGGCTCCTTCCAAACTGGAACATGACACTTGATGGTTGTTTTGGATTTTACTCCAGCATGCTGATTTTATTCATAATCTTGTTGAAAATTCTACCCAGAGTTTACTATTTTCCTTACCATCTTTTACTTCTCCAAAATACTCTAATATAGCATCTCCTTTTTGACTTAAATGCAAACCAAAATGATTTCACTTGGACTTGACAATGATCAAAATGCTTTCAAATAATAATCTGTTTTGCAGACTACTAACAAGAATCAATGGATGACAGTACATTCTCCATACCTAGGACCCAGGGGAAACTACCAAGTTTTTCTGTCAAAAGAAAAAGAAATTCCTTGGTATTTCAGGATACAAGAAGAATTAAACACTTAACTGCACAATGTGTGTGCTCTTTTATAGTAATGCTTGATGAAAGTAATTTAATTCTGATATACATTGGTGGCTATCTCATTTTCTTCTGTGTGCTTTTGCTTCATCTGGGTAGATGAGAATCACCTTTAGGATCAAGTGAAGATTTGCAATGAAACAATGCTCTTAATTAGATTGAAGGCAGAGCAAACTGTTTCTCAGACAAGTTTTGCATTAACTCCTTAACCTGTTTAGTAGTAGTTTCAATCTGGGAACCATTACAAATGGAAACTCACAAAACCAGCTTTTGAATGTTAACAATGACATCAAATGATCTTTCTTAGCTATCAGGTGTCACATCCTAATTATGTGCCTTGCATGTCAGTGAGGGAAGTCATACCTGTGTGGTTAAGACTATTGCTTCTCCAGGAAAACCTCAAAGCCCAGATCACTATTTCTATAACTCAGCATCTGCTTTATCTGTCCTTGACCTTCAGCAGCATCTCTTCCGCAGCTCCAGGTACACCAGCTTTGTCAATCTACTTGTCTCTTCCCTGGAAGGTGCTTTTAAATGCAAAGGGACATCACCCAGTGAATATTACATGGCATGGTCACTATGGTTCTTTTATCCTTTCAGTTCAACCACCCTTGTAGAAAAATCATCTGACTAAAATTTGAATCTGGAATTTTCTCATATCAGTTCATGGTGGTACACAAGTTTGTGTGTGTGTGCATGTGTGTGTGCATGTGTGTGTATAATTAAAAACAAGCCTCTTGGTAGAATATGTATGCACTCTGAAAATTGTACGTCATTATGTAATGTTACCTATCTTTCAAATGCACACAGATATCTTAAGGTGCTCTTTATGAGAGCTTTTGTACAGCTCAGGCTTTTTCTAAGGGGGAAATGAGTTTCAATTTTCTTCTCATAATCTCTAAATTGACATTCTTGAATATGAAATACCCTAAGCAGAATATACCTGTGCTGTGTTTCACTGTTCACAATAGCAAATAGTAGAATTCTAAGCAATTAAGACAAGATTTTATCTTAATTAAAACTTTATTTCACAGTTAATGGAGGCATTTGTATAGCCACCATGGTTCTAAACAGTTCCTAGGATGGCTTTAAAAAATATTTGCCATAAACAAAATGCACAAATGACAGACAATAGAGTATGTCAATACTTTCAAAGAGCTGTTATTTTTAGTAGCACTTTAAATGGGCAGTTGAATATACTGTTATTCTCTGCTCTGCACCCAACTCCACATAACAATTGGCATACACTCATTTTTCTGAAGCTCTGGCCCCATGCAATGCTAAGACCAGCCCAGGAAATGAGTCTTTTTAGGGATATTTGAAACTACAGAGAACATGGCCGTATTTTGCCACAAATAAGATCTGACAAAAATTACACGCGAGGTTATGCCAAGTCACCATGCAAAGATATATCACATGAAATCTTTAAAGATTTGTTGCTAATTGCCAGATCATGTAATCATTTGTCTATCTGTGTCCCAGTGCCTAGTTATACTTTTGTCTTGGTGCATGTAGTAGGGACTTTATAAATACTGATGATTAAAGTCAGTATTAATACTGATGATTAAAGTCCCTCCCCCTTATAAATGGGCTATGACAAACTTAGTCTTAATCTACACTTTTTCTCATTCTTGATTCTAATAAAGCATTCCTATCACAAGTTTTTTTTTATTATTTCCAGAAGCTTAATCTTGTCTAGTTTAGCCTTCTGTATCCTTATATCCCTTACATGTGGGGGCGACTTTTCCCGCAAGTCCCCCTGTCTACCAAGATGAAAGTGAACCCTTCTAAGACACCATCTGCTTAGGGAGGAGAGGTGGCTGATCCCTCAAAAGGGAAGGGCCTTGAACAGTGGCCAGTTTCTCAGGGGAAAAAGGCCTCAAGCCCCTTCCTCCAGGGGCTTTTATTGGGTTATAGTACACAGGAATATAGGGCTGCAAGGATCAAACAGTAGATAACATTTCAAAGAAATCTGAGGGCTTACTCTGAGTCAGTATCCGCCAGGAAAGGGGGTTTGCAGAAACTTTAGGGTTTCCTGCTTGGACCCTTAACACATGAATGAAAACGCTCTTAGCAGAGCAGGTTTCACAGGTTTTCAGGAATTCTTTGTGATGCCAGATTTTTCCCCCAGGATATGCTCTAGCAAGGCAAGGAGCTGCACCCCTCCCTATCAGGTATTTAGGCTTAAGTGGATTAGAGCCAGGAAGAGCTTCTCCCAGAGGACATGGGGACTCAGGCTATGTCACAAAGCTAGGGGGCAAGAGTCCATCGCTCCCTCTTTGTTGCAGCCCCCCGAGTACTTCCATGATGGCCTCCCACGTGATCAACTCTGGCTTAGGTTGCCCCCTCTGTGAAGGGTCTTACCCGTCATTGACTTCAGACCATGCTTTGGAGGCAGGGAGGAAACTGAGGCAGCATTTGCTACCAGAGACAAGCTTTGACTCCTGTGGATCGCATTCTGGAGGTCACTCGCTCATCCTTAGCCATGGGGGGTAGAGTTATAATTCCTGAAACCAGGCAGAGCAGTCCCCAACACATACATATTACTCTTAATGAGCCTGGTTACTTTCTTGCAGCCTTCATGCTTTTCAGCTAGGTCTTGAATTGGAATATTTCTCTGATCTCCTAGGAAGGATTTATAGGCTATTTTAGATGTTCCTACCTATTTTCTCAGTTTAATAATTATGCCCTACAAGGTAAGAAGACAATGTACTGTAGCGCTACAAGGTGAGCCTAGCCATCATGCTAGCCTGGGGGCTGGCCTGATGTCAGTCAAAGACTTCATTACAACTTGCACTCATTCACTCCTTGCTCCTCCTGCTTGCAGACATTCACTAAGCACCTACTCCTTGTCAGCCATGCTGATGAGTGCTCCAGGGAAGATATAAATGACTAGAATGCTGTTCTTTCTCTCTAGTAGCTCTATCTTAAAGAGACAGACATGTTCACAAATAACTAGAGTATGTACATTTCTATAATAGAGATCTGAAAAAATCCTCTATGACAAGATAAACTTTCACTCTTGGAAGACATGAAAGAAAATTGTGTCCAAGGAAGTTATATTTAGTTTGGCTAAAAAATCAGAATTAGACTTTACTGCATAAGAGTTGGGGAACAGAAATTAGAATAAATTATATTCCAGGAAGAGAAGAGGGAGGGGAGGGTGCAGAGTTTATTTAAAGAAATAATAGCTGAGAACATCCCAAACCTGGGACTTAGACTTCCAAGTTCACAAAGTCAAGAGATCACTTTATTATCTCAATGCTAAAGGACCTTCTCTGATACATATTATAATAAAAATGTCAGTAATCAAGAATAAAAAAGACATTTTAAAACCCAGGGTAAAATTATTGTAATCCATCAAAAACTTCCATGAGGCCGTCAGTGGATTTGTCAATAGACATCATATAGGACAATAGAGTGGACTAACACGGGCAGTGTTGAAATAAACAATAGTGCTCCTTAATAACATTGTACCTGGCAAAGTTATTTTTTAGATTGAAGGAAAACTTTCCTAGACAACGAAAAAATGGAGGAAATTTATCAACACTGCTCCTACATTGCAAAAGAAGGCTGAAAAGAGTTCTTCAGGTGGAAATAAAAAGACCTTAACAGTGACTTGAAAAATAAAAGTATATAAAATACTGGTAAAGGTAAATATTCACCAGATGTAGAAAATTCTAATTATATGAGGCAACTGTTAAGGTCTTTGACCAATTTTATAAACAATTTGTCATGAGATGATATGTTAACCACTTTACTATAGTACAAATATCAAAGAAAAATTATATTAAAATTAATGACATATACATCATAACTCTACTTCAACTTGCAGTAATGAGGTTGTTTGGATACTTACTTGATCTAGAGTCTCTCTCCCCCTGATAATGGAAGCTCAGTGTGAACAGTAACTGCATCTGTCGTTTTACTATAATGTCGTTAACCTGACACACAGATGTATCCAAGAGATGTTTGCTGAATGATCACATACTATGTACGGTTCAAGTGTGTGCTCCACAGGCTCCAGTCTCGGAAAGGGTGGGCGATCATGGTCACCCTTTTCTCCTAAAGAGAATGGACACAGGATGACATGTCCTGACACCCAACCCAGTGAAAAAGGTTGGTCGGTGTTTGTGGCATTCGGTCTCACAAAATAAGTTTCAGGTCTCATCCTCGTGAAAGAAGAGAATTTCAGAAGCTTATCTCAGTGTTTTGCCATGTTGTCTATGCTTTCTGTGGAAAGAGCAAGCCCTAGCTTTCTTTTCCAATTTTGTTACTTTTTTTACAGTTCATTATTATTGTATTTTTCTTTTGCATTACCAGTTATCCCCCATACCCTCTTCGGCCTCCACCCATCCCTTCCCCTGCCCCTCACAATCCCCACACTGTTGCCCAGGTCCCTGAGTTCCTCCTTTTTGCGCAATCCCTCTACCTCCTCACCTCCCCACTCCCACTAGCTGTCAACCTGCTCTCCATCTGAGTCTGTCCCCATTTTCCTTGTTGGTTCAGTTTGTTCATTAGATTCCCCATATGACTGAAATCATATGGTATTCATCTTTGTCTGACTGGCTTATCTCACTGAGCATAGTGCTTTCCATGTCTAGCCACACTGTTACAAAGGGTAAATTCATTTTCTTTTTTACAGCTGAGTGTTTTTCTACTGTGTAAATGTCACACAGTTGTTTTACCCACTCATCTACTGACGGGCATGTGGGCTGCTTCCATATCTTGGCTATTATAAATAGCTCTGCAGTGAACAAAAGGGTGCATATATTCTTTTGAATCAGTATTTCAGGTTTCTTTGGATAAATTCCCAGAGGTGGAATCACTGGGTCCTAACGCAGTTCCATTTTTAATTTTTCGGGAAAACGCTGTCCTGCTTTCCAAAGTGGCTGCACCAACAGTGAAGAAGCTTCTGGCTCTCCACTCCTTCGCCAGCACTTGTGAAGTTTCCACCTATTCAGTCTCCAGGTTTGATCTCTTTTCCAATTTTCTTACAAATGTTCTGTTATTCTAGACAAAGATATTAAAATTTGATACTCACCACAGTAACAAGGGTAGTTTCACTGTTCCCAAGCCTACACATCAGTCCTTGTTTGCTACTGTATAACACAAGAGATGTGGGCACGTTTCTTTCCATGAATGAACATGTTATGATACGCTACTGCAAGACCCATTCAGCCATCTACATTGTCCCTTTTAAAGTCCTGGCAGACAGGGACCTGGCCTTCCCACATGGGCTGACAGGGGAGTTAGATAACTAGCTTGATAGCAGGGAATTTCCATCCTTGAAGAATGTCTGCTATATCATAAATGAAAATGTGGCCTGCTTCCTCTAATGTGATTTCTTGCGAGAATTTAAGAAAGCCTTATTAAATTATTGCTTATTTCCTGCAAAAGAATTGGTATGGGTTACAGCCCAAGCTGTGTCGATGGTGCTTGTTTGGCTGTCCATTGCCACGCATACAAGCCAGCGAAGAGGGCTGCATGTGAATGAGCACCTTTATTAGACGTCCTCGTGAGTGAAAGACATGGTTCTGCAGTTGCACTTGTTACAGGGACCACTACTTGCCCAAATGATTGTGGTTACAAAGAAACATGCACACAGTGCCCAGATATCCTCGGGGGTGACTGGTTTTCTTCCTCCCTTCCCTCCTGCTTTCCCTGTCAGTTTCTGAAAAATGAAATTGGTTCTGGCTGCAGACTGGCTCTTTGAAGGCTTTAATTCTTCATAAAAAGTAAACTTACCAAAATGTTATGAAAAGTTATGTTAGAAGGTGGGAAAGTATGGTACTGCTGTTACATGGACTGAAGTTGAATATGTAGGAGATTGTCTCTCCCAGGAAGCACACAGGCCGCATCTGGGAGTAAAGGGTGGGGACGTGTGAAGCTCACTCTCCAGGGCATCTGTGTCCATAGAAAGAGAGGGAGAGCGAGCTCAGGAGCAAGAATGGCTGGGAGAGAGATTAGCACAAAGCCAGGGGGAAAGCGTTCACGGAGGTGAGTCTGGGTGAGTGAGGGATTCGGGAATTCATGGAACCAATGGCTTCTCTGCATTTGGGTGACTCTCAGTGGGGGAATGCCTGAGACCCAACTAACCAGGGCAGGGCACCCATGCTCTTCCAACCCCTTCATTCCACCCCCCTCCATTGTTATCCGCCCTCAATTCCCCTCCATGGACCCTCCTGCCCCACCAGATACCTGCATTCCTCTTCATGGTCCCTGGCACTCCCCATTCCCCTTCATGGTCCCTCCCACTCTCCACCCCCCATTTCCCTGCATCCCCGCTATTTCAATCCACTCATCTCCATTGTCTTCCACCCCCCCATTCCCTTCCAAGTTCCCTCTCACCCTCTATTTCATCTCATTCAGCCCCTCCCATCTCTCCCGGCCACACCCCCACTGACTTGCTGGCGTTATCAGCTGGCCCCTGTGAAGTCACAGAGCATATCCCCTCCTGCCCCAGGCGCCCAGTGTCTACCACAGGGCCAACGGCAGAAGCAGGCGGCCCACGGGAGCTATCAGTCCTATCACGGGGCAGCGGTGTCCTAAGGGCAGCGAAGCCTTGGGAGCTCAGGCTCTGAGCAGCAGAAGCTCTACGTGAGGACAGGAGACTGGTGGAGCCCACAGTCCACGGTAGAGGAGCTAGTGATGGAGGAGCCAGGGGCCAGTGGCACACAGGTGAGCAGTGGCCCCTCAGGTGCAGCCAAGTCCCGAACTCTCCCTTCCTCACCCCCTCCCTGCCACCATCCCTGTCCCCCACACCCCAGAGCCTGACTCCAGCCTTCTTACCCACACACCAACCTGGGGGTGGCTGCCCCTCTAACCCTGGCCCCATAAGCAATGCCCACCCTAACCCATGGCCCCCCTGACCTGCAGTCTCCCCTTGTCTTTATCAGGATATACGGGTCATCCCCGTTCCCTTGGACCCGTCCAGGGCTCTGAGACGACTGCAGAAGGAACTGAAGGACATCACCAAGGACCCCCCGCCCATGTGCTCTGCAGGGCCTGTGGAGAATGACCTGTTCAAATGGAAGGGGGCCATCATGGGTCCCTCTGACAGCCCGTATGAGGGAGGGGTGTTCTGCCTAAACATACAATTCCCAGGCAATTACCCCTTCAGGCCCCCACAGATTTACTTTACCACCCCAATCTACCACCCCAATATCAACCGGAGAGGCTATATCTGCCTGGATATTCTCAAGTCCCAGTGGTCTCCTGCACTGACTATATCCAAACTCCTGTTGTCCATCAGCTCCATGCTATGTGACCCCAACCCGAATGATGCCTTAGTTCCATCCATTGCCAGAATGTACCTAACAGATAGGGACAACTATAATACCATGGCCCGAGCCTGGACCAAGAAGTATGCCATGTGAATGAGAAGTAAATGATAAACTATCACCTTAATAAAACACCTGGCTGTTGAATAAACTGTCTTTTGACTGCTTTCTGGGAGGTATAGTTTCCCCATCTTTGTGGGCACGTGGTGGACACCTGCCACATCTGGGAGTGTGGAGGGTGTGGAGAGGCAAAGGGTGGGGCAATGTCAGGGGATGGGGAGGCATGGGGGTTGGACACTCGCAACATTGGTGTGTGTTTTGAGGGGCTGAGGGGGACATGGGGGTAGGAAAATCATTGGGGTGTTGGGGTGAGGAAGGCATCGTGCTTGTAGACCTTCCACATCAGGGTGTGTGAAGGGGTGGGGGAAGCTTGGGGTGAGGGAGGTGTGGGGGTTACACAGCTGCCACATTGGGGGGTGTGGAGGGCATGGAGGGAGGCATAGGGTGGGACAAGGTCTCGGGATGGGTGAGTAGGAGAGAGGCCAGTTTTTATGAGCATTTTACTGAATCCCTGCTTCAGGTTGGGAAAGCAAGAACAAGGGGGTGGTGGGCTTAGGGTGAGCCCTTTAGAACTGACAATGGGGAGGAAAAAGTAGATGAATATTAGAAAGCTCATTAGGTATCTATTTTATCCTGAAGAACCTGGGTCTTCAGGTGTTTTGTTTGTTTTTGACCCAGATTAATATTAACCCCCTATTTTGAGGCCTACATTGAACTGGACAAACTTTAAATGGATGAGGAGTTTTTAGAAAATAAAATGGCGTGTTTTGTTCCCACTTTCATCCCCCCTTTGGACCAGTCTGCCCATCTCCCTCACTGCGGGTTGTTCCCCGCTTCCCAGGACATACCTACATCTGTGTATGGACATTGAAACTGCAGAGAATCATTATTAAACTTATTGGAGCCAAACAGAGGATATGGCTGGACACCAGATTTGAACAGACTGAAAAATGTTTCTCAGAGTGACCATGTGCAGCTTCTTCCATGCAACTGAAACCAAGGAAGGAACCTAAAAGGAAGACCATGGGAGGGAGGGAGAGCTCAGGGGTGGCAGAAGGGTGCTCTCCTGAGGGTGGGTCCACATCACTCGGGTCTGTTAACCTAAAGGCAGGAGAACAGTGGGCAGGGCTTGCTTAAGGCACACACACACACACACACACACACACACACACACACACACCTCTTTTACTCTGAAGGGTGGAGGCCTGAGGTGTGATGACCCAGCACAACCTGCCCACTTAGGTACTGAGGACCACGTCACCCTGAGAGGTTATTTGCTTTGGAACCCCTTTTGGCACCCACACCTACGAGCTCTAATTTGTTTCCTTTCCTCCAGAGCTCTGTGGGGTCTGAGGTTTCACCCAGCTTTTGGGCCTGCGTGGGGGCCAGTCACAGTTGCAGGGACGCTGGCTGCACAACACAGACTCCTGGCTTAGGGACAGCGTTATTAGTCATGGCCCGGCAGGCAGCATGAGCCTCGGTGACCCCGGCTTCCCTGGCCCCCCAGATCAGATCCCAGGAGGAGATGGAAAGCACACCACGAGGGCACTACACACGCAGTGGGTTTGTGTCATGGCTGAGCTACCACAAGCTTAAGGACCTCCCAGTATTTGCAAGGAGAGTTCCAGCAAACCTGACCAACCCTTTTGCAAAGAGATGTAGTGTCCTTCACCTGCTGGGGAACCTTCCGTCCAGCCCCTGCCCTGGAGGGAGCTCTGTCTTCCAAGGTTGCCTGCTATGCAAATGCCAGGGCAATGAGAGTCCAGGACACAAGCTGTTACACGAGGTACAGAGCCACACCCAACGGTCTTAATGGCTAGGGCTCTTTGGCCATAAAGGGAAAATTGATTTCATGAAAAGACTTGTATGCAATGAAAAAACTCTAATTTTCCCTTTAGAACTTGTGCAGTTATGAATGTCCAATCAGTGTAATGTGCACATTGCTATCATCAGTACCTTTAAACACTTTACAAACCACTCTTTTAGAGGAGTTGAAAGAGAGTGTAGTAATTATAAGCAAAAAACATAAAAATTCAGGTGCTTAAGATCTTTTAAGTATTATCAAAATAAGTGTGTAAATATGTACATGAGACATCTAAATTTTGTTGCTGTTTTGCACGTATCCATAAATAACCAAGAGATCATGCAAATATTGCTTTTGGGTGACAAATTAACTTTAGTTAACAGGTAAATTCACCAATATGAAATCCAGAAATAATGATTATCAACTCTGTGTGTGTGTGATGCGATTTATTTTAGTGATCTGGCTGATTTGACTGTGCATACCGGCAAGGCTGAGACCTTTAGGGTGGCCTGGAAGCTTCAAAACTCAGGCAGGAGTTGATGCCCCAGTTTTGAGTCAGAACTTCATACTCCCGAGAAATCTCAGTTTCTCCAGACCTCCAACAAGGTGAGACTCGGCCATATTAAGAGTAATCCTCTTTCAAGTCAACTGATTGCAGATGTTAACTACATCTATAATAATATAAATCCACAGCGACACCACAGATTACTGTTTGATTAAATAACTGGGCAAGTTGACACATAATATTTACAATTATACCAAGTGACTTGGATTAACTTTTTTGAACACAAGGAGGACAGGAAGGAGGGGGAGAAGGAGGAGTTAAAGAAAAGGGAAGAGGAGGGAGGGAAAATTGCACTTAAACAAAATACAGCATGATCACACATAAAAAAAGTATGCAAAATTGTATGGCTATAATGTTCTGCAGCATGAAAAATGGAGAAAATCATGGTTAACATGAACATATACCCACATGCATGTAGTAAAAGTTCTAGTTGAGGTACTATTTTAATGGAGAAAAGAGAGAAAGTCACCCTATGTAACATTAAAATGAATTACAAATTCATGGCCACCGAAATTACTTTTCAGTAGCATAAGGACAGACAAGTATACAAACAGAACAAAAAAGGCAACTTTTACTTATGTGAATTCACACATACCCATAAAATATCAAAAAGTATGGGGAATGAACTATTGGCAAATAGAAAACATGCCTCATCATGTGGAGAAAAATATAAACAATTTACTTTCTTTTTTCTTTTTAATTTTTTAAGATTTTATTTATTTATTTATTTTTAGAGAGAAAGGAAGGGAGGAGTAAAGAAAGGGGAGAGACATTGATGTGTGAGAGAAACATTGATTACTTGGTTCTTGCATGCCCCCAACTGGAGACCTGGCCTGCAACCCAGGCATGTACTCTGGCCAGGAATTGAACTGGCAACCTTTTGCTTCATAGGCCAGCACTCAATCTACTAAGCCACACCAGCCTAGGCTACTTTCTATATAAAGTAACAAAATCTAGATTGATTAAAGATGTGAATAGGAAAGAAAACAGTGTAAAATATTATCTAAATGTTAGAAAATAAGTTTAAGAACTTTGGATGTGGAATAAATTTTAAACCAAAACTCTCAAAAGCAATCTAGCTGCATTTAGTGAAATCAATTTTGCCTATACCTTGCAAACCAGAATGCCCTCTTTTTAGCATATAATCAAAGGAAATACTCATGTGTGTACACAAAAGTGTTGCTTGAGGTCTTGCTTGAGGTCAATCAGGATCATATAATATATAATATATATCATATATAATAAGATAATGTGTAGGTAATGGAGGATGGAGAATTACATAAATCCACTAAAGTGGCTTACTCAACTGTAGTGATTAGAATTGGAGGTATTAAAATTAATCCAGATGCTGTAATTGCTCTTCTAGTCTTCTGCTCCATCACTATAGGTGTGTGGCTTTGCATCTTTATTATTGCAAGATAGCTGCTTACCTTCAGGTAATACCTATGTATTCCAGGAAATAAGAGGATGAGAAAAGTGTAGGGCAAAGGGACAAACTTGTTGAGTTTGCTCCCTTTTAAGGTGGAAAACATTTTTTTTCTGTAATCTACTCCCAGTAGAGTGCAGTTACATTTCTTTGATCAGAAGCAAGTCATAAAGACGCTGATTGATGCAAGGGAGTATGTGAGATGAATATTTTAACTGGACACATTGAGACCTAGATCACAAAGGGCACCTGTCGATGATCAAGAAGGGAAGAAAAAAAATATTGAGTATGCAGTTGGCAGTGCCTTTCACATGTGAAAATACAAATGGGAAACTTGGAGAGACTATTAAAATGGCATGAAAGATAAAATGTGAGGGGAATAAGAGTAAATAAGGGGATAAAAGTGACCATATACAGATTTATGGTGATAGTGTACCTTGAACTGAGGAGTACCAACCAATGTGCTTCTGTTCAACTGAGACAAAATAAACAGCAAAGCAACAATACCACAAAATAATAAAAACAACAAAAGAAAGGCAAGATTACCTTATGAAACCAAATATATTTGAGGTATTGAAAGGTGTTTAAATATAGGGTTTGGAGTGATGAGAAATAATGAAAGTTAAAACAGGGCCTTGTAAACAAGATTAATGAGTTTGGAGTTTAGACCCAAATCCCTTGGGGATCTTTTGAAAGTTACCCTTCTTTGGCTCTGACAAATACCAACTGCATAAATACAATAGAAATTGCAGTCAATATTTGATAATTATCTAAACCAGACCTATATTTACAAGTGTGAGAACTCAGAAAAATAATCAGTTATGTCTTCTTCTCTAATTGTCTTTAAAATATTTTCTTCAATTTTAAAGGGTATATAAAAGAAATTATTTAGAATCGATTACAAAATAATATTGCAAGTACATGCAAATCAAACTAACATTTTACATGTGTTTACTATCATGTATTTTAAAGTTTTAACAATGCACACCTGGAATTAGATATTGATGGTTGCACAAACTTGTGAATATACTAAATAAACAAATTGTACTCTTTTAAAAAATATTTTACTTATTTATTTTTAGAGAGGGGAAGGGAAGGAGAAAGAGAGGGAGAGAAACATCAATATGTGGTTGCTTCTCTCAAATACCAGCTGCTGGGGATCTAGCCTGTAACCCAAGCATGTGCCCTGACTGGGAATCAAACCAGCAACCTTTTAGTTCTCAGGCCAGCACTCAGTCCAC